AGAGACATCCCATGGATGGGGCTCAGGAAAAAGTTTTCTCTCACCTCAATTTTTCTCTCTCTCCTAAACTTTTGTCTCAACATGAAAGTGTTTCTGTATTTCTATAACAGCACAATCATATTGCCCAAACTTTTAATATGGACCTTATATTTCATTCTAAATCAGAAACATTAAAGCCTGCAATTGTGGATTGATATATACTTAAGGGAATATTATATTTATAAATTTTTTATTTACAAACTATACTATATCTGACCGGTTAACTTTAAAATTTAGTGTAATTTATAAAAAAAATTGTAATAGAATGTTTCTCCATATATTTAAGTTGTGATTATGTAGCCTTAAAGCTCGTAAGCATTGTTTTTGGAGGGAGGATATTCTCACTACCAAAATTTTTTACTACCAACTTACTACCTTTCTATTTACCATTGGATCAAAGAGAGAGAATGCTAAAAAAAATTTAAAGAGAAAAAAAATGTTAATCCAATGATAGTTAGATAGATAGTAAATTGGTAGTGAAAAATTTTGATAGTAAGAATATCATTTCTGTTGTTTTTGTTGGGAACTTTATGTAGACGGTAAGTTTTCTCTTCTCGGACAAATACCCTTATGTAATGCTGAAACATTATATTGAAGAATCCTCCAGCGGATTAGAATATCAAAGAAAACCTTTTAGTAATCCTACAATATAGATATTTCCTCTATTATTAATTATTTGTGAGCCTCATTAATTATGATAAAGTTAAATGATTATATTTTAATTTTGGCATCCTTATTATCCTTTTATCATTGTTGGATTGGATTCAAATCAACGTTAAAAGAGAGAAACAAAATGTATAATTTGTTGAGAAAAGCATGAGAGAGAATGAAAATTTATAGGTGTGTAATTGTTTTTGTTTTTCTTTAGAAAATTATTATTTTTAAGACCGTCGATTTAAATTCAATCCAGCAACCAGAAAAAGGTAACAATGGTAGCCAAAAGTCATTATTAACTATGAGATATAATTATTTAACACCGTGTCAAATTTTATCCAACTAAAAAAGTTGATATTAAATTTTTACCGTTTATTTCCATCAATCTAACCGTTATAATTTATTGAGAATTAATAATTAATTAATAAGTGTGACCTAATAAATTATAATCATTAGATTCACGAAATTAACAGTTAAATTTTGGTGTCAGATTTTTTAATTTGACACCGATATCAAAAAAAGATAGATTAAATTGGACCCAAACATGTCTATAAAATTCAATCTGAGATCAAGTAGTTTTTCAAAGAACTTTGTGCCAAGCACTGAAATTTTTTTTCCTTGTTGTATTTATAAAAGAATTACGAATAATCAAAATTGGCTAAGTAACCAACTAGTAGCGTCATCTGACTTCCACATGTAAATTCTCTTTTTATCAATTTACAGATGAAATGGATTAATTGGGAAAAAAAATAGGTATATTTATTTAGCTAAAAAATAAATTATTCACACTTCAATTAAAATTGAAGGTAATTGCGTGAAATTTTCTACTTAATAAAAGACCACTACGCGTTTAAGGCATGAACTAATAAATATATGATGATAAATATATTCTTCTTAATCGAAGATCTTAAATTTGAGTCTTGAAAATGGTGAAAATAATTTTGGACTAGATTAAATCAAATAATTGATGAACCGATTAAGAAATAATAATAAAAAAATGATATGAGGTGCAAACTTAAGAAATTTTCTCAAAAGAAAAAAAAATAGAGGAACCTCCTCTTTAAACTTTAAAGTAGGGAAATAAATGTTATTTTAAACTTTGATATCAACCTGCCAACCCAAAGCCCAAATATATAACAAAAAGAAAGATTAAAAAACACCCAAAGACCAAAAGAGAAAACAAAACACTGGATAGATGAAGTTTTTTTAATACAGAATCACCGAGAAAAATGGCTTTATTTAAAGAATGCATAGCAAGGATAAAGGTAACTAAATTGCGTAGAAAAAAATAATTTTAGCGTCAATAATCTAAGTGGTAGGGTTACACAAAAGCTTCCCATGCTTTCTATACAGCACATGATAACTAGGTTAAAATTTTAGCAGAAAGAAAAACTAATATTTGACACATAAGGAGTTTATATAATTAAACCTGTTTTTTTTTTTTTCAAACAGTATAACGGACACATATAATCTCTGATGAGATTGTCAAATGTAGAAGTTGTAATTTCACGTAAATTACAACTTCTACATTTGACAATCTACGTGAAATTACAACTTCTACATTTGACAATCTTATTAGAGATTATATGTGTCCGAGAGGTAATTGTGAGAAAGAAGCAAGCTCAGAATCTAATCAGTGCCTACACACTTCCCCTTCCTCCTCGAGAAATAGTTTGGAAGAACTGCCACAGTCCAGCTTCAAGGAGGTTGTTCGTGCTGCGGCGCTGAGGTGAGCTGTTCGTGAAGAGGAATCCTACAAGGGAAGATTCTACACGAGACCTGTGCACCGAGAGGTAATTGTGAAACAAGGATGATTCGGTAAGCATACCAATGTACTAGGTCCTAAACCGCTTCCGCATAAATCTAAGATTTCCTACGAGAAGTTGTAATTTCAACATTTTGTTTTTTGGTGTAAATTGCTTAAACTTATATACTATTCTTAGCATAAATGCATATAATTATGTTTAATTTTAACAATGCGTCAAAATTTCTTAATTACTTTATTTTTATTAATTATGAGACTTCTTTTGTAGTTCAAAACTCAAAAGTTGTTAATTAAATAGTTTATTACAAAACTTCATCCGCAACATTAAGGATATATATGAAAACTTTTCCGAAATCAATTTTTTTTAACTGTTCTAGGAAATAAAATGGATAGAAAACTCGTTTGGTAAAACTGATTTATTTATTTTTTCCTGGAATGAATCGATTTAATTCTTGTAATATGGAACAGAAAAAAGAATAAAAAAAAATCTATTTTTTGTTTTTATTTTCGGGCACAAATTAAGAAACACTTGTATCTCTCAATCACTCTCCACCATTACCATCATCACCATATGTTCATCCCCACCATTGTTGCTGTCGTCGTCGTACCACTAATGTCGTTGTCACCACTACCATCGTTGTAGCCACTACCATCACTACCACCGCCATCGCCGTCATTACCACCACCATCGCTGCAGTCACTGCCGTTACCACCACTATCACTGTCGCCGCCACACCGTATGGAAAGGAAAATAGTGATCCGAAATTTTTTTATGTTTAATAGGAATTGTTTTTTATTATATTGTTTGTTGTGTTATCAAACGCAATTCTCATTCTGAAAATAAAAATAGAACATATCATTAAACATATTTTTTTTTAGAAACTATTCCGAGGCACAAAAATAGAAAAAAATTATTTCATTTCGAAAATAGTGTCAGGGAACAAATCGATGGTTGTCATACACACCCTAAACTTGGCATTGTGGATTGATATATAGTTAGGCTGTGATTGTGTAGTCGTTAAGCTTGGAAGCATGATCTGTTGGGAATTTTGTGTAGTTTCTTGTACTTATGTTATGACATTGAAGAATCCTCAAAGGGAACTACATAATTAGGGAACTAGAATATCAAAGAAAATTGATATTTCCTCCGTTAGTAATTATTTGTGAAACTCATAATGAAAAAACTCTTAACAAAATAACAATTATAGTAAACTTTTTTTTTAGGACGTAAATCAACTCAATTACCACCCTTCTGTACTTCCGATAGGCTTTGTCACAGTTACTTTGACAAACCATGACCAACATATTAATCTTGTGATCATAATTATCTATGATGGATTTGGAGTTTTGCATTTCCGTACAAAGACAACCTGAAGAAAGAGGTTATGGGTCTTTTTTGGCCCAAAAAATATTACATTATGTAAAGCCAACCACAACCTGCTGGAATAGTTATTTTTACACTTTTGACCAAATCAGCAAATTATTCTTCTTCACAATGTACTCAACTAAATTCTTCATTACTTCACTCACAATTCACTCCTTTATTCTTGCTTCTCAACATTAAAAATCTTTTGAAAAAATTATAAAAAAATAAAATAAAAGAGGAAATGAAACCTCACATTCAACTTAGAAAAACTTTTGCTAAAATTTTTATTTAAACATAATGACTAAAATAGTAACGTGATCTGAAAGAACATTGATGCCAAAGATAATAGAGGCAAATTCTGACAAGATAAATGGAATATAGAGCTTTTGATTTTCCTTTTTTGTCTTTTTCATTCGAAAATAAAAATTAAAACTATCATGTTTTTCTAATTTACCAGGACTCATGAACTTTTGGTCATCAAGCTAATATTATGTAGGTCTCCTTTGCTAAAGAACCTATGAACCAAAAGACAATGTCAAGATCAAAATTGGAATCTATCTTTTTAGTTCGTGTGGACATAAATGCCCTTACTTTTACTTATTGATTATTATGTTCCTTTTTTTATGGCATAATTATCACACCTTATGTCCTCCCAAAAATCAATTAGATTCATTATACAGGGGAATAAACAAGATATATGTACATGCCAAACATTGAGTTTGTCTATTGCACACGGGGCATGTTATATTTACAAACTTTTTTGTTTACAAACTCTTACAAACTACACTATGTAGGACCGGTCCTACATTAATCACATAGTGTACGACCGGTCCTACATTAGTATAATTGCAAAAAAAGTTTGTAAACGGATTCTGTCCCGTTGCACATTACAAAAACCTAGAGTTGCAATTTCAAATATATAGAAAAAAGATAGCTGAAATTAGTAATCTAATAACCAAAACCAGACCCTTTTTTTTTCATTGCTTTGGCTCAGAAAAAGCATGAGATCATTGAGAATAGAGAGAAAAGAAAAGCCTGATAAGCCACTATGAAGAAGCATCTTCAAAAACAGATTATTCTATCTTAGTGATTCAAAATTCAACAAAGTAGCCTAAAAAGAATGTAAGGTAGCTTACTAAGTTATAGATGTCCTAAATCTTTCAACAGTTAGGCATCATGATTTCCTTAACTGATGTTTATCATGTTGTGACAGCCACTGTCCCATTGTATGTGACCATGATACTAGCTTACATCTCTGTTAAATGGTGGAAGCTCTTCACACCAGATCAATGTGCAGGCATAAATAAATTTGTGGCCAATTTCTCAGTTCCACTGTTGTCATTTCAAATGATTTCTTCCAACAACATCTATAAAATGAGCCTGAAACTCATATATGCAGACTTTTTTCAGAAATTGCTTGCATTTCTAGCCTTGACAGCAATCATTAAGATCAGTGCCAAAGGAGGTTTAAAGTGGATCATAACTGGTCTCTCATTATCAACACTTCCTAACACTTTGATCCTTGGAATTCCACTCATGAGGGCTATGTATAAGGATGAAGCTGATGTTCTCCTTCCCCAGGTTATTTTCTTGCAAAGCATGATCTGGTACAATTTGCTGTTATTTCTTCATGAACTTGATGCTGCAATTCCTGCAAGGACCATGCCTGCTGCACCACCATCACAAGGCACAGGTGGGTATTTAGATTTGGTTAATATGCATCTTAAGGAAATAGATTTGGACAAATATAAGTGTAGATAAATTCTTCATTTCCATTTCTTCATTTTTCTCCTTGCCATTTCACTAATATGCAACACACCTAAATCCAAAATTGATTTTGATTTTCTTCATTTTTAAATTATGTAAGCATATATAACTTCCATAAATTATTCTTGTTCAGTCAACTAAGTAATCTATGACAATCAAAGTGGGGCCAGAACATATTTTAAATTTTTCTTTGTTTTTCTGTTATTTTCTTTCTTTATTTCTCTCTTCAGTTAGACTCTATTTGAATACATATTCAGTTAAACTATCCTATTGCCTCTGCATCAAATAAGTTAAACTGAGGCCTGTGTCATAAAAAAGTATGCGCTTCATTTGAGTATATGGTACATTATTTAAATACCAATTTGTCTCATAAAAAGCAATATCATGCTGGTACATATTTCTGCAATGGAAGTGGTGTCATTTATATTTTCTACCAATTTTACTTTATCTTTAAAGGAGAAATGGAGACTTCTCAGGAAGTACAATCAAAAGAAGAAGAGGAAGAAGCAGAACATAGATTGGAGAGGAAAATGAGGATTTTGCTCATTCTCATGACAGTGGGAAAGAAGTTAATCAGAAATCCTAATACCTATGCAACTTTCATAGGTCTTATTTGGGCATGCATACACTTCAGGTAATCCTACTGTAGAGTGGAAAGTAACAAACACTTATGTCACATTTATTTTAATCACTCAATGTAAATATAAAGAACCAATACATCCCAAAAAGCTTAAGTGGGTGAGTGAGGCTACATTAATGATTTTATATATCTCTAACATGTCCTCTCACACGAGAGCTCACTAGGCTTGAAGGGTGAACAATGCACAAACCCACTTATTTATGCTAAAAAATTCTACAAGTAAAAGTGGGAGGCGGTGAGGATCGAACCCGGATAAATAACGAGGCTCTGATACCATGTAAAAAACCGATTTAACCCAAAAGATTAAGCAGGTGGGTGAGGCTACATTAATGGTTTTGTATTTCTCTAACAGTAAAGAACCAATTCAACTCAAAAACTTAAATTGTTGGATGAGGCTACATTAATGATTTTATATTTCTTTAACACGCCCCCTTGTACAATAGCCTAGTAGACTTGAAGAGTGGATGATGCATCATACCACACTCAAGTCATTGTTGGAGATTATTATAGTTCCTGATCATCCGGGAAGAAATAAAGATAATTAGACAAATTTGTTGCAGGTGGGGAGTGCATATGCCAGAAGTTGTTAATCAGTCAATATCAATATTGTCCAATGGAGGTCTAGGTATGGCAATGTTCAGCTTAGGTAAGAGAATGGATCGATTGTTTCCTGTTATGAACTTTTGAAAATAAAAATAGACTTCAAGAATTGAATTGGAAGGTCTTTCCTATGTCTTGAATGAAATTTCAACAGGTCTATTTATGGCATCAAACTCTAGCATTATATCATGTGGACCAAGGATGACAATGATGGCAATAGCACTGAAATTTCTTATTGGACCTGCCCTAATGGCTGTAGCCTCCATTGTGATTGGATTAAGAGATACAATGCTCAAAGTGGCAATTGTTCAGGTTATCTTTCTTTATTTTCTCTACTCCTTTTCAGATCATGGAAGGGTATATATGATATGATTTTGCACGTGCAGGCAGCTCTACCCCAAGGAATTGTTCCTTTTGTTTTTGCAAGAGAGTATAATGTTCACCCAGCCATTTTAAGCACTGGGTAAGTAATACTTCTAAGTATCTTTTTGATAACCTTTGCATATAGCATGACTAAGATTAGATGATGTTCTTGTTTTGGTCACAGGGTCTTACTAGGAATGCTCATTGCCTTGCCAGTGGCATTGACCTACTATATCCTCTTGGCACTCTGATACAGTTTGTTAAATATATACCAGGAACAATGCAAAGCCGTTGCATTGGTATAAAATAACAATTTACTTAGTTCTATGTTGTCAGTATTGATTCATAGTCAGAAAAACAAAAGCAAATGAATTTATAACAAATTGCACAAGTAGAGAACTCACAGATTTTGCAACTGTTGTTTCCACAGAGAAATAAAACACTTGTTCATCATCTTTCTTACAAGTTACAAGCACAAGTACCTATAAAATAAAACATAATATGGTTGAGCCACTGAGAATGAGAAACCTACAACTATTACAAAAACGAAGACATAAGAGTACTAAGTTAGGAGATATTGATATGTTTATTTAAATGTGTCAAATGACCTTTCAATCTGAAGACACCTCCCTTTCCCTTTTGGTAGTAACAAAGAATGAAAGAGGAAATGAAATGTATATCATCCATGAAATTTATTAGGAAAAGTTACTGATCCATTTACACAAAGTGTCTAAAGAAAGAGATTAGTTGATCAAATATTAGAATGAAAATTATGATAGTTTGGAGGTGTCATCAAGAATTGTATTAAAATTGCTGATAAACATAACAATAGATATAATTAAGAGAAATATAAGAATCATGTTGCAGGAATGACACTGTTCATTCCTGCAACAAGGATACGGCGCCGTATCCTGATTTTGGTTTGACTTTTTTTTTTAAGTGTGGGACCCACACTTGATTTGTGTGTGCAGGAAAATGGTCTTGTCATGTGATATGACAAAAAGCGAACCCTATAATTAATATCGCAAAGGATGACTAACAAAACTTTACTTTTCACTGACCTGCTTTCCCTAAAGACAAAGTACAATCTTATTCATTGTTGTGTTCCTCTATCCAATATATTAAAAAGCAACCAGTTTTTCTTCCCTTTTCAAATTTAAAATGCAATATTATTTTCCAAAGCTATGTATTAGGGTGTCATAAGTTTAGAGTTTTATAACATAATTGGAGCATGTCTTCCCGGAATATAATATATAATTTGATTTTGCTTCTTTATGAAAAATTGAAGTTTACTTATACTCTAAAGAACCAGTTTAACCGAAAAACTTAAGCTGATGGATGAGGTTACAATAATAGTTTTATATATCTTTAACACATCTCCTTACACGAGAGTTTACTGAGCTTGAAAGGTGAATAATGCATAAGTCCACCTACTTATGCTAAGAAACTCCACACCGGACTTAATTAATTATTAATTAAATAGGGGACGGTGAGGATCGAACATGTGATACCGATACTTTAATACCGTGTCAAATGTCAATTCAACCCAAAAGCTTAAACTGTTAAGTGAAGGTCTTTTCAATGGTTTATACTATTCTCTAACATATACAAAAGGTCATTCCTAAATTTCATAAAGATAAACAAAAAAAGATTATTCCTGTTACAGCAAAGCTTGAAGCTTGAGCAAAACTTTTATGGATCAATCCACAGCTTGAGTAGTTTATTGCATTTGCGACCTTTGATACTATAAATGCAATAAAACATCATCCTTTGGAATATAACTCATTTATGGCATGCCAAATAGTTCAATTTCTCAAGATCATGGCAATTCTAATTGCAAAAGTATGATTGTTCGGAGCTATCAAGCATTTACCACACAAGCAGTGGTGGAGCCTGGGGAGAGCTAGGAGGGGCAATTGCCCCTTCAAGTTCATGCAGCTCTTTGTCTTAGATTCCATTCATAGTTAAAAAAAAAAAAGTAGTGTTGCATAAGTTTGTCCCTTTCAAGCTTAGCTTTTGAGCTTTCATCATTACTATTCCTAGTATATAAAGAAAACTTGGGGAGTTTTTTTTTTTTTTTTTTTGATAAATCATAGGTATCTTCCACAAAAGGCAATCATGTTCGAGTCGAGAACATCCACATCTAGCTCTTTAATCCACATCATCCCCTTTGAGAGTTCTTTAATCCAGCTATGTACCGATCTACTATCATGTTACTTGGCCTAAGTTAGTGTGAATTTTGTTTTCCTCGCCCCCGTCAATTTTTTTTCCCAATTGAATTATCAGAACCCAGACAAATTGACATTGAAGTGTAGACATTGCAGTTCTGCTTGTTCAATTTGAATAGTGATAATACAAGTATGTGAACCAACCATTTAAATTTGCTGTTTCAATATTTATATGGGGTAACAGAAAATTAACTGAAGCTCCAATCTTTACGTAATTCATCTTCAATTAGAACTGGAAACAAAAGAAAATAACTGTAAAATTAAGAAACCAGGACGTATGAGTCATGTGAAGCTAGTAGCATTGTTATTGTCACAATGTAAATGACATTGTTAAATTGGGTGTGCCACTCTTTGGTTTAAAAATCCGCTTCTCACATATAGTAAACTAAACATTTGAATAAACCAAAATTGAGGGAATTGCATCTTCCAAATCATATTCGTTTTGCTTTTTTACTTTGAAAATGCTATAAAATTGAACTTGAAACATGTAAGACTTGTGTTCTGGGCAGTCCTTTGGACCCAATAAGTTGGGCTCAATATTATAGCCCACATCTAAAACCTTCTAAAGGACACTTCATACCCACACACAACTCACAGTAGGGTAGCATGCCTTGTCTCAAGGACAAGACAGGCTATAGGTAGGACAGCTCTAGGTTCCTCTTCCTTCTTAGTACCTCGTTCTCCCATTGAAGGGACATCTATCTAATCTCTCATCTTTTATCTTATGAGTTGGTACTACTATAGCCATTTTACAAACACCCCTCCATTTCATATACAGCACCTGGGAAGCTCCCCCAGAGCCATGGTTCATACAATAGTTACTAAGAGCACCCCAATATCAATATACTATATCCCTTAAGGGAAACATCTATAGCTCTACACAAACACATAACAGCTCAACTTCATTTTATTTTTGTCTTTATAATATAAACTTTCTTTCAATTGCTTTATCTTTTTTCTTTTAATTGCGGTCTTGTAGTATTTGGGTGAATTTGCATACACCTCCAATTTGTACTTTGTAGGGAATTTGGTCCCTCAAAGTCGGCTAGGAAGCCTTTGCAGAATTCGTCACGCCGAATTTGGAACTCAACTATCATAGAAGTAGGTCGGAGTCACCAGGCCAACGTAGCAGAAATAGAAAAATGCAAAGAAGAGAGAGAAAAAAACACAACAAACTTAATGGGACACAACAAACACGCCCTATATATATATATTGAAGAGAATGGTTATATTGACAAATTTTTTTTTTTACAAACTTACAAATTACTCTATGTTTGACCGATAAGACTACTTGTCCTTTTTTGAAAAGTAAATTGTTGAAGAAAAATTAGTTAAATTTTAAATAATTTTAGAATAAAATTTGAATTTATTAATTAATTTAAATTTTTTTATTAAAATTTTAATAACTCAATATTTTAATATAATCCTACCCGCTTCGAATTAATTTAGTTGAATAATCGATGGTAATATAAAAAAAATTGATTAATGAATCAGAAATAATAAAAAAGCAGCTCAAGATTTATTATTTGTCTATAATTAAACAGACGTCGAGTAAGTGATAATCAGATGGATACTTTTAACATTAAATGATATATTAAGTAATAAATTAATATCAAATTATAAAACTGAAATTTCATAAAATTTTAAAATAACATAAAAGGTCATGTTATTTATATTATAATAAAAAATTTAATAATAAGAGACTGCAAATAACAATTCAAACTCAGACTTTATACTATACATTGAGTCTCTATTTGACTAAAAAAATAGACATATTATATTAAAAAAACCAAAAATAATAAGTTAGAAACTCCTTCTATGTGTTTATGAAAAAAAATATTGTATCTTCCTTTATTTTATTCGTTATAAAAAGTTAAAAACATGTTTTATTTTTTATTTTTTCGGTCCACAAAAACATGTTTTTATTTTACTAAGGATATTCCATGTAATGAGAAAAAGATATATTTATATTAACTATATATATATATATATGTTTACATTTCTGCCATTGTTAATGTTATACGTGCAGCAATTAAATATTTGTCATATATATATATATATATATATTTGAGAGCATTAAATGAGAGAATCATAATCATATAAATGATGAAAATATTAAATGTGGAGAATCATAACCATACACATGTCGTTGCTATACGAAAAACGACTCCAGAAATAATTTTATTAAATGTTAACTACATACATGGAAAAAAATCTATCACTTTCTTTCAGTGGGGAAAGCGAAAGAGAAACTAAATATTCTACAAATGTTGTGAATGATTCTTTATGTTAAATTTTTAGCTTTAGCTTGGAGCAAAAGAATCCTTTTGTTAAGCCATTTATTAACATCCACTCAAAATTCAAATAAAAGACATCAATCCCACGGTAAGAACTACACAAAGACCACTCCATTTCCACATCCGACGGTCCATATTTTCTTCCCGTGGGAAACACCAACGTCCAAAATAATTAAAAAAAAAAAACATTTTTCCGAAAAAGATTGCTGAAATTAGGGTTTCCACTATTATTTATATTTCCCTCAAAGGGTTCGATTGTACCTTTTAGCTTCACTCTCTTTTTCTTTCACTTTCATTTCCAATTTTCTGTGAAGAAGAAACCATGTCTAAGGGTCCTGGTCTCTACTCTGACATCGGCAAGAAAGCCAGAGGTTCTCTCTCTCTCTCTCTCTCTACATGCATGCTATGCTTCTGTTTTGTATTTTTTTTTTTCTAATAATTTTTTTTATTATTTTGGTATTTTTTTGTAGATCTCCTATTCAAGGACTATCACAGTGACCAGAAGTTCACCATCACTACCTACTCACCCACTGGAGTTGTGAGTATTTTTTTTTTATTAATTTTGCATTTCACTTCATTTTTAGGTCAACTTGGTTTATTCCACTTTCTGTTGGGTTTTGCTTGTTATTGAGCTAAATTGGGGGTGGGGATGATTGTTGTTGCATTAGAATATTTGTGTGTGTAGGGAAGGGAATCTGTGTTGAGTTGCTTTGGGAAGCATTATTTGTGATAGCAATATTGTGTTGTAAGGTTATTGTTATTGAATTTTATGATTCTGGGATCTAGCTAGTTGCTAGGTGCTGATGCATGGTCGTTAGAATGATATTTACTGTGGAACTTTTTCCCTCTGTGTCTGCTGCTGCAGGCTATAACGTCCTCAGGGACCAAGAAAGGGGAGCTTTTTGTGGCTGATGTTAACACCCAGTTGAAGAACAAGAACGTCACCACTGATATCAAAGTGGATACTGATTCTAATGTATGTTTACCATTTTTCTTTGGAATATTTTGTTCTTCTCTGTTCTGTTGGGTTTCTGATTTATGTGTCTTGTAAAAATTATGAAACCAATTTTGGTGGTTGATATTTGTTTCACTACCCTTGCGAGGTGGGTTTTCTGCTGATTTTAATTTTATGGTTTATCTTTATTTTGCGTTAAGAGTGTAAAATGGTCACTCCAACTTTGGCTGGGTTTTTCTGAGTACACCGCTTTTGATTTCTAATTGTTTTGAATTCACGAACTCTCAACTTTTTGATTAATCTACGGAAGCCCTTCTAACTATTTAGTTTGTTATTTAAGCTGAAAGGGCCATAGGACAGATGCAAGATGAAACTACTATCCAATTAGCCGATGTCAACTTATTTGAAGAAATTGAAAGTAGATGATTTCAAAACAAATTTTCAAGTTGATGATATTGTAAAATTGAAATCGGGGGCTGTAGCAACATGCAGGCTGAAATTTAAGTGTTCTTCTACATGTTGCTTCCTTTATTATGTGTCTGTCTGTATGCAAATATTGTTAATATTCGTTCAATACATATGAATTGTTTCTTCTGATTTTGATTTCAACTTCAATGAGCTGAGATGGGTGACGAACTCTGTTGGTCCTCTACATGTGTACTTATTTGACTATTAAAATTCAGCATTTACTGGAAAAATCCTATGCACTATTCTAATCCTGATTTAGATGTAAGAGATTGGGGAATGGGGCTATTTGAGGAATTTTATTTGTATGCTATTGCTTTGTGCATCTTAACCTGTGTATTTTTTTTTTAATTTGTTTATTTAAAGCCAGTACATGTATTTCACTAAAATTGATAATGCTTATGCATTCCAGCTCTTCACAACTGTCACTGTTCATGAGCCTGCTCCTGGTCTCAAGACTATTGTTAGCTTCAAAGTTCCTGATCAAAGGTCTGGAAAGGTGAGACAAGTCAATCATTTTGTAAGAGAAGCCGTAATTCTCCACAGGAAAGCATGAATTACTAAATTTGAGAAACGAACTTCATTATGAAACAGGTTGAAGTTCAGTACTTGCATGACTATGCTGGAATAAGCACCAGTGTTGGGTTAACAGCAAACCCAATTGTCAACTTCTCTGGTGTTATAGGAACTAATGTTCTTGCCCTTGGTACCGATCTTTCTTTTGACACCAAAGTTGGGGAGTTAACAAAATTCAATGCTGGATTGAACTTCACCAAAGACGATTTGGTTGCTTCATTGACTGTGTGAGTAATTGTTGTCCCTTTCTGAGAAGTGTTGTTTAGTTGAAGTGGCAGGCATTATTCATTCCAACTTCTACAAGTTAGCCTTTAATTGTTAAATTAATCTTGAGCTTGTTTTGATTACAAATAACTCAGAAAACTACTATTGTATTTTCCTAAGGCTCCAGAGCTGATCGTGAACCTTGTGAGGTTCCATTGTAGCATTCTTTTCTTTACTCTTTTCTTTTTGAGTCTGTTTACATGTAGCCATCACCAATGTGAGAAGTCTTTGTTGTAGTATCTGCCGATTTAGATATACTTTATAAACTCTCCTCCTTAGGGCTGTGTTTGAACTTATTGATATGTGAGCGTATACGTGTGATGATAATGATGAATTCTTGTATGCAGGAATGACAAAGGTGATACTGTGAATGCTTCATACTACCATGTAGTCAACCTCTTGACCAACACAGCTGTTGGTGCTGAGGCAACTCATAGATTTTCAACCAATGAGAAGACCCTCACTCTTGGCACCCAGCATGCATTGGATCCCTTGACCACAATTAAGGCTCGTGTAAACAACTTTGGCAAGGCAAATGCTCTCATCCAGCATGAGTGGCGTCCCAAATCATTCTTCACCATTTCTGGTGAGGTTGACACTAAGGCCATTGAGAAGAGTGCAAAGGTTGGATTGGGATTGGCTCTCAAACCCTAAGGAATTTTGAGCTGTACTGGCAGAGCGTCGAGGGAGGAATTAGGAAGCACATAGTTGTCTGTTTGAACTATTTTCTTGAGGTTGGTTCTCATGGACAGAAGTGTTCATGTTGTTTGATTGCATTTTGAGCAATTCAACGTATAAATAATACGATTCTATAAACCAAATGTTACTCGTAAATCCCCACTAGCTTTTTGCAAATCTCTTTGTTGAACCGAGGATTGATGCTCATATTGAGGTTTTAACTTGCCAGATTTTATATCTCTTCATGTCATGGTCATTATCTGCCATGTCCCCCTTTGATTTCGGTGTGCTTATTTGCATGTGAGGACCATTAAATATTTTCATATTTTCGTAGTCTTGTACTAGAAAGGTGAGCCTCATCTTGAAAAGTAGGAAAAGAAATGATACGTACCATACATTTATTTTTAACCATAAATGATCAATTATTAATATTATATGAAAACAAATTAAAAAAAGATGTGCTTGTTAGTAAGTTAATAACGATAATAATATTAAAGAATAAAGATAATAAAACATGACAATATGTATATGCAATTGGATAATAATATAATTTTCTTTGATATACTAACATTAATAAAAATTAAATTTTTGAGTGATATTATAATACAGATTCATATAATTTAAATAAGAATGGGTCAAATTAAATTCAAGTAAAATTACAATATGAATTACTTGAGAATTACTATATGTTTGAGATGCAACTATAAAGTAGAAACATAAAATGCCACGCATGATTTCCTCTGATTTTCTCTTTATGTCAATTCCAATTTTTTGATATATAATTAAGGAAAAAGTATTTTTTCAATCAAGGGAAATAAAGTTATCTTCATTGAGCCAAAAATGATGTCGTTTTGAGCATTGTTTTAAAATTTCATCTTGGGGTCAACTCCGTCGGGTCACTGACTCTCTCTCTAATGAGGGTTGGAGTCATCAATTAGACACTGCATACATATTGACCCCTCTGACCCTTGAAACCTCCCGTTGAACCCGTGACTCCCGGGTAAGATGGGTCAGAGAGGGTCACTATATTTTTTTAAAAAAAAAAATTATACACGAAAAGACGTCGTTTGGTATTAAAAAAAAAAAAAAAAAACTTGTTGCTGCATAAATCTAGAACTAGATCTGAAATCTGAATCGTTCTTCTTTTTCTCTTCCGATCTTCTCTCTCAGACCCAAACCCAGTCCTTGAGATCCGGTGATCTCCTCCGCCGTGGTGGTGGTTCCTTATATCATCTTCGGTCTTCTCTCTCCCTCTCCTCTGCCATGCTAGTTCGTCTCTCCCCACCGTTGATTCGTCGCACCGCCGCCTCTCCTCTGTCGTTCTCTCTTAGGTAAGGGATCTCCTTTCACATGCTATTGTAGGTGTGTGAGAAGGACAAGAAAGGTCTGAGTTTGATCATGTAACTTTTCATCAACTTTATTGGAATATATATTTTATACTTTGACTAACTTATGTAATATTGACTTGTGGATACTTATACTAAGTATATTTTAAATCTTTGAGGATTGGTAGTTTGATTTTTTTGAATTTTTCATATAAGATATATATTTATATTTTTTTAATGTATAAAATCGGATCAGCGAAGTGACCCCGTGACCCCCCGGTTGAACTCATAACCCCGCATCCTTTACCTCGGCCGAGTCGATGGTCGGGCCGAGTTTTTTAACACTGATTTTGAGATTATAAGATTAAAAAATTATAATGATAAAGACTAATATTACCTTGCAATAAATTAAAATAATAAAAACACATTGATTTCTGTCATAAGATGACGTTGTTTTGGGTTCAGTGGGAATAATTTATCTCCATTGATCAAGAAATATTTTACCCTATAATTAAATAATATAATAATTTTGATCACACAAAATGTATAAACCTATGAATTAAATGAATATGTAAATTATCACACACAAAAAAATGAATATGTAAATGTGTTATTAGCATGCGCATTAAATCAATACAGTTTATATAAATATATAAACTATTCATTTTTTTTAATGGAGTAACTAAAGATTTTACGTGAAAAAACTTTCATATTTATATTTAAAATAATAATTTTTTTGTGTTAAATTATATTACTCATATTAATGAGCTTTTAAACTTTATTAAATATAAGAAATATTATAGAAAAAAATTTCAGCTGGGGTTCCTTCGCCACTCATATTCAAAGAACGGGAAATTTTGAGGATATGAATTCAGCATGTCGCTTGCAAGGAAGATTGCGAAGTCGACAAATAAACTATATTAATCATCATTCTTGTGCACCAACCAAAAGAACCCTGATGTTTTCTCTTTACATCGTTCTTGATTCTTTATCTACGTTGCCTTTGTTTTCTTATGAGTTGGTATATAACATCCTAGTATTCTATTCTCTTGATTCAATATGAAACATTTATACAAAAATTATTCATTTAATCTCAATTTGTACAATTAAATCAATTCTCACAGTGACGTCAATTTAGTTTTTTTTATTATAAAAAAAATAAAAAGTAAACTGTTAACATTTAATTATTATTAAAGGAGCAATTTTCTTTACCAAAAAAAAAAAAAAAAAGGAACAATTTGAAGTTTGTGTGGTAGAAAAATTTATAAAATGAAAAAAGGGGCAATCTGAATTCTATGATAAATGCTGTATACATATATAATATATCCTTCCAATATTAAAAGGAACACTTACCCGAGAAATTAAATGCTTATCTAACTCCTTTTTTGTCACATATTTAAAACTGAATTATGACTTTTTATACACAAATATAATCAAAAGTTAAAGACCCAAGGTACTAAGGTAAGTGGTAAACAACTTATAATCCCCGGAGGTAAACATATGGATCCATTATCTTGAGAAGAGCTTACGTGACTCAGCTGGGAAGATTAGGCTTCCCTGATCAACTTTTTCCTTTAAGAAGAAAAAAAGTTAAAGGGTAGGTCACGGTATATATATTAGATTTGAATATTTTCATAAGAAACTTCATAATTTTCTTCTATCTTGAGTAATTTTTTACAATTAAAAGCATCCAAACTTAGCTTCAGCAATTGCATGACTCTTCCTTTTCACAAATATTCTGAAGGACACTGAACACACTTTTGCAGTCCCATTTACATGCAAATTGCAATGAAAGCAGTTGCATTTACAACGAATAACTGTACCTGTCTCCATTTTGAGTTCAACATGAGGTCAAGGGTGAACCCTAAAACTCATAAACCTGTATAGTGCAGAGTAATAAATGCAAGAAATTTGAAGCTAGCATTTCACAATTATACATTGGCACCTGGGATATAAAACTAGATATATTGCTATTCATCTCTTCAATATAAGAAGAGTAAAAACACACAGCATTCAAACAGAAAGAAGCATTTCCCTGATCCATAATCAACAATTCAACAGAAAATAGCAAAACCTGACATGCACACACTATTTGTTATATACAGCTCCAGGAAAACTGAATTTATATGTGTGAAGCATTGGCCTGAAGGAGACCATCCCGGATCTGAACAGCTATGTCCTTCACTGCACCAGGGCCATGTGGTATGAACACAGATGAGGACTTTGAAGACGCTCCAATCTCCTTCATAGTGTCAAAGTATTGAGTCACCAGCACCATGTCCATGACATCTTTAGCTGATGTCCCAGGTACATTCTCAGAGAATGCAAGCACACTGTCTCTCAGCCCATCCACAATGGCCTGACGTTGGCGAGCTATACCGAGTCCCGACAGATACTTGGACTCTGCTTCTCCCTCAGCTTTCTTTATCTGCAGTATTTTTTCAGCTTCAGCCTTCTCGTTTGCAGCCAACCTCATTCTAGCAGCTGTTGGTAAAATTGTGAAAAGGATTAGGATATAACCATAATCACAATGATGAAATCAAAATATACACCCAAGAAAGGCCTATAAGAACATGTTGAAGTTTGTCCCAATGCAATACCACAACATAGATTACAACAGTGACAAAAGTAGAAAAAAATTATGAATCCTAATTTATTTTATCAGAGAAACTGTGATTCTTTTTTTTTTTCTTTTTTTTGTTGCCTGAAAACTGAAGTTACATGCTTAAAGCTACTAACCAAATCATATTGCAAAGATGCTTTTAACATGCTTATGTACAAAAGCATCTTTTCCATTCAAAACCAACCCAAAAACAAAGAAGCATAACATAAACATGCACACTATGCAAGTTAAGGAGTAATTTAATACAGGAAATTGCCATGTATATATATTCACAAATATACAGTAAAATGTTTTTCCTTGAGGAACTAGAACATATTACCTGCATTGATCTCGTTCATTGCTCTCTTGACATTAACATCAGGCTCTATATCAACAATGAGGGTCTGGACTATCTCAAAGCCATAATTTGACATGGCCTAAAACATTAAGGTTGAATTAACTTGTTAATAAGAATGATTAACGATCTACTGAGGTAATATTTTGTCCAAACTAAAGAAAAGAAAAAAACAGAAGTGATTGTAGAATAGAATAAACACCTTCTCAAGCTCCTCTTCAACAATCTTTGCTATATCATTCTTCTGCTCAAAGACAGAATCCAATTCCAACTTTGGCACACTGGCCCTGATAACTGAAAAAATGCAAACTATTAGCAGCTTTTAAAGAAGCAAGCCACACAATAATCAATTATGTTATAATACAACACCCAAAAAGTAAAATGCTTAACAAATGACATCATGAATGGAGCAAGTGGATTAATCCATGTGAACGCGATAATTGCAGGTATATAGCATTTCATTAATAGAAGGAAGCAGAAAAGTAACTCAACATACCATCAAAAACATATGATTGGATCTGTTCCCTTGTGTTGGTGAGCCTATAGAAGGCATCAGATGCTTTCTCAGCCACAGCACGGTATTGCACAGACGCAACCACAGTGACAAAGACATTATCCTAACAAGATAATGATAGTCAAACTCTAACAAGGGATCATAATAAATCACATAGGAAATATCCATCCACAATTAGAATGAAATGATTTTACAATATCTTTTCCAAATCTTGAAGTAAATATGATATAGTGGAAGCATAAAAGGAAATTTCCTGAAGAATAAATTCAAAGAAACAAATTGATCAAGAGAAAAAGGAACAGATCAGGAAAAGAAGAAGAGCATCCAAATTCTACCTCAAATTACATAGACCAATGATAACCCCTAACAATATATCATCCACAAAATTCGTTAAAGAATAATGTAAACCATTAAAAAGGCTATCACCCAACGCCTTAAGGTTTTTGGTTGAAGTGATTCTTTATATGGTATCAGAGCTTCAGTGACCATAAGGTGACTAGTTCGATTCTCACCACCCCCACTTGTGGAATTAAATAAGCATAAGACAAAATCAAATAAAAATTGGGCCTATGCAATATCCACCTTTAAATCCCAAAGGGTTCTTACGTTAGAGGGTGTGTTAAAGAATAATGTAAACCATTAAAAAAAGGCTATCACTCAATGCCTTAAGGTTTTTGGTTGAAGTGATTCTTTATACTTTCGATCAAAAAGGTAAACTCCAGCGCACAAGGCTCCTCAACTTGCGAAGGTAAGAGCGAGGATGATTGACGCATCCTTATCTGTTTCCCAAACTTAAACATGTGAGCTTCTGGTCACAAGGAGAAACCTTAGGGCAGCTCCAAGGCTCGCGCTCACATAACAAATTAGAAATACACTGCTAAATCTTGTTGGAAAATTGTTATTTTTGTCAACAAAGTATAAATTGGCTAATTTTATTTTTCACAATTTTGAAATCAAGAACTTAGAAATCATATCAGCAAAATTTATGATTTCAGGTAAGAGCCAAACAAACTAAATAACATCACACAATGAAACAGAGATAGGTAGAGGAAAGGAAGAAGCTGAGACCTTGGTTTTGGTCTCACATCGAACATCAAGTTGCTGCACACGCAGTGATAACCCACCAGCAATCTGGTACCCAAAACACCAAGGCAAGCAATGACATCCAGGTTCTAGAACATCAACAAATTTTCCAAATTGCTCCTTTATAGCCACATTTGACTGATCCACTTGATAGCAACCTAATGCTTGACCCATCCTTCAATTCTGCACTACAATAACACTACTCATTCATCAAAACTATATCACAAATTGAAAAAAAATGAAAATTTAGCATTCTGCCTCCACCAATCTCTTTTAACTTCCCAAAATATATACGTCTCAAATATAGCATTTAGTTATAACTGTTTCTAGTAGTTCAGTTACTGTAACAACTTTTAGTTATAACAACTTTTAGTTACTAGCATTTAATCACCAACGTATTCGGTTTTGTGGGATCGACAAACCGCGAAAAGGAGAACCCTCGTTGAAGCTAACCTGATTCGTTCTCGCGGAGGCTGAAGGCTGAGGAGACGACGGAGCCAGCGACGAGGGAGAAGTGGAAAATTAAGCACCAAAACGCTGTCGTTTATTCACAATGAGAAGAAGGGGAACGAAGAAGAGGATTGGGACAAGTATGAGCCGTTGGATTAATCGGAAATTATGTTTAGATTCCTTTTTGAGTAATAATACATAAAAATACGTGTGTTTTTTTTTTTTTTTCCTTTCAATAAACTATATGCATAATAAATAATGAAGATATAAAATGCTGAGAGAGGTTAAATAAATCAGTATGCGAAATAAACAGTAGAAATAAATATATAAATATAAGGAAAGTACGAGTAGTATTTATTATGATTTATGTTTTTATATTTAAAATTGTTAACGAAAATTTAGCAGAGATTTAAAAATTATTTTTCTTATTATATATAAATATTTGAATTTAATTTTGTTTTTAAGTAAGATGTTGAGATATATAAAACTATTAATGTAACTTCACCCAATAGATTTTGCGTTGAATTGATTTTTTTACATAATATCAGATCCTCGATGTACCGGGTTATATCTTCGCTCCACTTTCTTTTCTTTGTAGTGAAATTTATATTTACTCTTGGTGTTGCCATAGATTCTAACATATGTGTCATTGACAAATGTACTAATTTTTTTGAAATGAAACGATTAGGAAAAATCAAGAAAAATGAAGAATCACAGGAAAAAAACCAAAATATGAGATGGGGTTGGGAATACTGAAGAAGAAATATTAAACCAAAAGAGAATAACAATAACAATATCAAATACAAGCAACAACAGGTTTTTTATTTTCAAGCATTCATGATAGTAGGTGACTTGTTTCACATAAGGAGAAGCAATAAAACTGAAAAATAACAATATTCTATATGAATAAAAAATTAATTAATTAATTACAATACTAGAGTAAAATTTTACAACTGAGATTATCCATTATATAAAAAATAAAAAAATAATAAAAAAATTCATTCACGTGAATTGTTGGTCTGGTAGATCTCAAGATACCCAAAGAATGGAAAAGCGCAAACCCGAAATTGAGAACTATGCAAAACAAAGCGCTCAGAAAGATAAACACATGACCCTAAAACTCAGAAACACGAAGTGTCAACCAAACCTTAACATCCACGAAGCCAAAAAGGGAACCAAATTAAAAAAAAAAAAAAGAAAAAAGAAAAAACAAACCCACAGAAGAAAACAAAAAACGATTTTGAGTTGAACTCAGAAACCGAGCACAAAAGTGAACAGAACTCCTACAAAATATAAAAGAAAAAAAGAAAAAAAAAAAGAGAGAAAGAAATGAAAGACAGACACACAATTCAAGATCGTAACAAACAGAAATAGTGAAAGTGTTTCATTTCCCGAGAAGCACAAATGATAAATAGAAGAGTTGTTGTAAGAGAGAAATGCACCTTTTAGCGAGAGACACAAGTACAGGGATTTTGAAACTTTATCTTAATCAAAGGAGATACAACCTGCGAAGTAAACAGTAGTATTTATTACGAAAGAGTGGTGTTAGTTCGGTTCGGGTGAACCACAAATATACATAAAGGTGTTTAGCTTCTATTTACATTGGATCTTCTCACCTGAAAAAAAATTGATCATATAATTATATTGTTTAATTATAATTATTTATTTAAAAATTATATATTTTTTCACTTATCTCATAATAAATAAATAATTATGATCAAATAATATATTCATATTTTTACTTTTTTATACAAGAGAATCCATTTCCGGTCTTGAATTTGGGCCTTAAACATATCTAGATTGTTAGCTCTTTAGCCTCACTACTGATATATAAATTTTAAAAACATACTACTCTCATTCTATATGAGATAATTATTGTATGTTATCTCACTTCAAAAATTTTACACACTTTTTTTTATTTTTTTTATTTTTTTTTATCCTTTAATGGTGAGTCTCACATGACTTCTTTCTGTAACATGATATTTTCCTTTTTAATAAAAAAGAAAGACAGAGTTTAGTGCTCCCACCAAAGTTTTTCTCCCATTTTTGGCGATTATAACTACAAGTCATGAATGACATTTATTATGGTGGACCATGTTGTCTTTTTCACTACATGCCCATTTATTTCTTCTAAGATATCTTCTTCCGCGTTGTGTCTCGTATATATCTTATTTATTTATTATATTATTTATTTTTGCCATTTTATTTATATTATTTTTATTATGTAGTTCAATTTTTCAAACAAAGTGAAAGAGATTAATTTGTCGGCTTAGGATAGAACAATTTGCGTGCCATTATTATAAATAAGTTTTTATGAATAAGCGAAATTTTTTTGTCTATTTTATTCCTTACATACATCAAATAGATGAGATTCAATTATAATTTATGAAAATTTTAATGAAGAAATAGTTAAATATAAATTTTTCATATAAAATCTTAATGTGAGAGAATTTATTTCTGAAAATCTTATTGTAAATATCTGCATGTTTGTAATATACCTCACCTTAAAATAAGATAATTTTTCATCTCTCTTAATTTTCGTGTACTAAAAAATAAATGATTTGTGATAAAAGGGAAAAGTGTCTATCATTTAAAATTACACAACTTACATCCTTTCACTCTCACAAAGAGGTGGGACCCACACCTTTATTTTTTTTTGTCAACTCTCTCTCCTCCTTTATCTATCTCTTTCTCTCTCTTAAAATGACACAACTTTACATCCTTTAAAATTATACACACTTTTCCCGTGATAAAATTGGTATGCGAGCTTATAAAAACTGAGGCTGAATGTAAATATAAAATAGTGTATGTGTAATATTTTGATACCAAATTGTTGATTCAGTTATAACTTATTAAATCATACTTATTAATTGATTATTAATTCTTATTTCTTAATAAATTATGACCGTTATATTAATGGAAATTAATCATTGAGATTTGGTGTCAAACTTTTAAAAGATGGTCAAACTAAAAGTTTGACATCAATGTCAAAATTTCCTATCCTGTCCCTAAATATATTGTAAAAAATATTTGTTCTCTTAAAAGATGATTATTTTAATTAAAACTAGTTTTTAATTAAAAATTTAAATTAAAAAAAAATTCTCACTTTCTCCGTCTATGATTTTCATTATATTTTTCTTTCTTTCTTTTAAAATGACATAATTTTATGTCCTTTAAAAAATAAATACTAATACATATATATTTGTGATATTATATATTTATAAATAAATACATTTTATTTTGTAAATATCCTAAGTGGACCCTTTGTCCCAACTTTGAGACGCAGACTTGATAATGATGACATTCCACGAAAGTCTATATTTTTGTTTTTAAGTTTTTGGCTGTAAAAGTCTAACAATTCTTTGTCACCTAACGTAAATCTCAAAACGACGTTTAAGAATATCTTATAAATTGTATAATACTAATTTAAATTCATATAATGAAATAGAGCTTTTATTTTTTAAAAGTGAAATAATTTTACAAGTGAATATTTTTAAATATGTAATTTTTTGGTTATTTAACGCATATTATTTTACTTTTTAATAACTTTTAAACGTTTAAGTTAATAATTATTTGATTTTGTTTACATTAATTATTTTCATTCTTTACACATTCTAACTATTTATATTTCCAAACTAATTACTTATAATATTTTCTTGGGTTAAAATTTTGTTTATTTTTAATTCCACCAATTTATATTTTAAAATTAAAATTTTTAATTTTTTGTACAGTAATAAAAAATTTCATGTTTCAATAATATATGTTAAATTAGATTATACTATTTTGAAAATAACTCATTTTTTTAGTATATTCTTTTTTAAATAATGAAATATATTATTTTTAACTTATCTTCTTTTAAACTTTTTAAAATTACTTATTCATATTTTTTACAATTTAAAATTGTATTCTTTTAATTTATATTTTAAATTTCGCTTAAATTAATTATTCAAATTTTCTTAAAATTTATAGTTGGGATATAATATTATACCTATCTTTTTCATGCCTACTCTACTTACCTACCTACTTTTTACCATCATCCCCTTTTAGAACATGGAATACTGTTAAATTGAATTCTTATTATTAATTATTTTTAATGAAAGGAATATTATGGTGAAATATTAATTAGAGTAGGATGAAGGTTAATTAAGATTCTAATCTAATGGTATTGGACATGAGTAAATAGAGTAGGCATAAAAAAAATAGTCACAATATCATATCCTTTTATACTTTTTTTTTTTTGGTAAACTATTTTTTTAATATTAATTAAATTTAAAAATAGGCGCATAATTGTTACTGGGATTAGTTGCGGGCACATTGATACAACCAAACTATATACAATAGTTCGAATGCTTATTTAAATTAACTATGAAAAAGTCTACATAGTGGAATAAAGAATGAAAACATGCAGTTCAAACTTTCTTTGGCGTGTTTGGATGGAACTTACTTATTTTATGTATAAATACACATTATACGCCATAAGGCACCCTCATCATAGGCCTCATCGATGCCAGCATCATTATCTCTGTCCTTTTATCTTCATTTTTGGATTCTTTCACCGTATAGGTCTCATCTACAACTACAAGTATTCTAAAATCTTGATATTATTAACTTAAATAATAATAATAGTTTTTTGATATTACTGCATGTAATACTAGTCATAAGAGAAATGATCAATATGACCAAACCTTTTTTTTTTCTTCGTATAATGAGTAAGAATGGTTTACATGTTTTTTTTCTTCTTTTTTATTGCAATTTTTAATAGATTGAGAAAGAATAATGAGCTATACATGGAGCTATAGTTGTTGCCACTTGCCACATCAATGTTGAGAGTGATATTTACACTAAGGTAAGACAACAATATCAATACGAACATAACTATAATGATTCCAAATACAACGAAGAGCCAGCCAGAAAAAATAAAATACAAACAAGAAATTCCTTGTTGACTACAATCTCCAAAGTTGACTTTGATTATAACTATTGGTGGATCACCAATACCACCAACTTCGTTATCCACATAGCTGTACAAAATTAATGGTTTTTGAAAGAAAAAAAAATATCTTCAATTTATATGAATATTTAAAATTTAAGTAAAATTTTAAGATAAATTTACAAATTTTAAGATAATGGTGTATAATTAATTCAAATAAAATTTATAAAATGTAAATTAAAAACATTTAAAAACATAAAAAAAAATATGCATAATTTATTTAAGATAATATAAATTTAAAATTTTAAGAAACGAAAATAAAAATGACACGTCATCTTCTAGGTATAATAGACAACGAGAATAAGCTATGAATGTCCTTTAATTTAATATATAAAAATCAATTGCCTTGGTAATATCTGTTACTTAATACAATCCATATATGCAAAATTTTACTCATGAAAAATTGACATTTCATTAACTAGATAAATAAGAAATTGATTAAATAAATTTAAAATTTTCGAGTAAAATTTGTTCGCAAATTGCAATGAAAGCAATTGCATTTACAACTAAAACTGCACTGGGGTCTCTATTTCGAATTCAACATGAGATCAAGTGTGAACACCTAAACTCATAAACCTGTATAGTGATTAGTGCAGAGTTGTGAATGCAAGAAATTTGAAGGTAGCATTTCACAAGTACAAGACAAAGAATCCATTCTACAAAGCTAGCACACCGAAAAAGAAAAAAGAACCCTTCAGGTCCATCACTTTTTAAGTCGTTCAAAGCTCTAGCATGATTCTCTTACACGGTACAAGGGTTCATTTCGGTTCATTTCATGTAGATAGTTGTTTTTTTTTTTGGGATTAGTGTTTCTCATGTTGTAGGAAATAATTTGAACCTCAGGTATCTCACGGGTTCGACTCTTTGAGCCGCCTATGGACTAATCCAGAGTTCGGGTGCGAGTCCAAAGATTACGATACTTATGCCCCTCCCCAGATGGTGTTGGTGGGATTCGAACCGAGATCTTCTTCCACCACTCAATCCCCATACTACCAACTGAGCCACCACACTTGGGTTGACCTATACATTTTTATGTATGTACAGAAGATAATTTCATTTCTTAGAGCATAAGAAATATTTTTTTTTTTACACCAAAAATAAACTGCAGGCCTTAAATAACCACAGAAAAAAGAACCCTTCGGGTCCATCACTTTTTAAGTCGTTCAAAGCTCTAGCATGATTCTCGTACACGGTATAAGGTTCATTTTATGTAGATAGTTGTTTTTTTTTTGGGTTTAGTGTTTCTCATATTCTAAGAAATAATTTTATCTTCTGTACACACATAAAAATGTATATCTTCTCTTCACATTAACCCTATACATTTTGAAGTATGTGTAAGAGATAATTTCATCTCCTATAACATAAGAAACATTAATTTTTTTTTTTTTACGGCCGATTTGTTACACCTTTACCAATGCTCTCCCTTTACGCTGACTTGAGACCGATCATGCATGCATGCATATATACACACATAGACCATGCATGCATGCATGTATATGCATGCATATAGATACATGCATTGGCATAGTTAAACATTTAATATAAGCATTTACATGAGTTAATGCCACTTTTTTTTTCAACTTTACAAAAATACATTGAGAAAGGAAGGAAACCCATGAAAAGGTCAAAAAGTTAAACAAGTTCAGTGAATAACAATTTCCCACTTTGAAAGCTGTATATGACAGTTTGCTCTTCCCCTTTTTGTCAAACCAGTCCCTATTGTATAACACTAAGAGGGTGTTTGGTACCTAGATTCTTTTTGAGTTCCTTGGAAAATTGGGTATGGAAAATTGAAAGACCATGTTTGGTAGCAAAAATATTATATTTTTCCAAGAAACAATGTTACCCGGTTTTTTCAATTCATGTATAAAAAGTAGTACGGATGAAATATAAATATGTCCATCCAAAAGTTAGAATTTTGGTTTGCCCGGGAGACCAAAATATTCGTAGACAATAATAACCCTACTTTTTGGTAGCAAATGGAATCTATATTATATTAAAAAGTAAAAGTAAGGTTATTTTCATAAAATAACCTCACATTCCCACTAATATTTCACAATCAATCAAACACACACTTAGTAAAATAAACCATAAAATTCCAAGAAAATTTGACCATACCAAACAATTTTTTAGTAACATTCCAGCAAAATATATTTTCTATTATATTCCAGTAATCTATTGTTTCCAGATAAATAAAAATTTCTCTTCTACTAAACGTCTCCTAAACTGTCTCATAACGTGACCTTATTTGAGATCATATAATAACAAAAGAAAACTATAATGATTCCTCAATTGCTGTTCAGCTGATGTTCCAATTTAAAGGAACTGAATGAATAGAGAAGCAAATTAAAAACAGTGAATAGTGATTGTTACCCAATAGGTTTTGGAGACTTGCTATAAAGAGGATATGGAGAAGCATGTTGACCATTTGGACTTGACAAGGTCCTTACAGGTTGACCCTTTCTTGGTAAAGACACTAAGTGTGTTCTAATACCATTTTTAGGCTTTGGCATGGACATAGTGCGACCTACTTGTGCAATTTGGAAGTGATAAGATGAGATAGCCATATCCTTAAGGTTTGGCAAAGGCTTTAAAGCTTGAATAACTTCACTCATCAAAGGTCTAGATTTTGGATTACGGCTAAGGCATTGAGCAGCCAACTGAGCAGCTTTCTGTGCCCCTTTAACTGAGAAGTGACCTTCAAGGCGCGGATCGATTATCTGGAATAACATCCTTCTGTCTCCAAGTATAGGTCTTAACCACTGCACCAGATTGTGTTCCCCATTTGGTCTTTTCTTATCAATGGTTCTCCGGCCAGTGAGCATTTCAAGTAGCACTACTCCAAAGCTGTAGACATCACTTTTTGATGTCAAATGTCCTAATCAGGTTAATATCAAAAGTGTAAGTATACATTGAACAAAAAGGATATCAATCAAAAGGTAACAATTTCTAGTTATCATTAGACAAAACCTGAGGTAGCTTTCTTGCTTTTTATTTCATCATGATCCCTTCTTGATTTGAAGATCAAGATCATACACTTTGGAAAGAACATATAATAATTTAACATGATGCAACATTTTAAGTTTAAAAGTCCCTTGGCCCCCCTTCCATTTTTTCCAGTTTGATATTTGATGATTTAAGTAATCAAGGTATATTAACTTTCTCAATTCCACCATAACACTTGTGAAAATTGAAATAATTGTTGAAATTGACCCTTTTTTTAATGTTGTCATCAGCTTGCACTGAAAATATTTGTAAAGGATTTTAGAGCCAGATTTTCAATTTTGTACCATTGTGGTTGTTATTGGTATAATAGCTATCCTTTATCTCAAACAAGTACAGATATATGGTAGACACATTTTAGCTTAGAAATAATAGGACCACAACAAACAACCAGAGAAGCACCTATAGTGTATGGATGAAAAATTTGTGAACCTCACATCTTCAGAATTTATAATGTTCCATCCTTCAACTGGATCACTTTTAAATTCTTCTACTTTTATAACCGAGTTCAGAATGTAGTTTACAAGAAACGATCTAATAGTAATAGGTGAAAGAAAATAAGAGGTATAAAGCAATTGGTAAACATTTAACATATGCAAATTCGAGATACAATTAGCTATCTTGAGTTTGAATTATATAGCGAAGTATTAAGTTCAAGAAATATTGACACTCAAAAGGAATATAGAAGGCTCAAAACTCACCAGTCATCACATACTCTGGAGCAGCATAGCCATATGTTCCCATAACTCTTGTTGTTACATGTGTATTTTCCCCCTCAGGAGCATCTTTGGCAAGCCCAAAATCAGAAAGCTTTGCGTTGTAATCCTAAAAACATTTTGCTTTTAGTTCTTGAGTTGGAGGATTAATAAGAAATAACTAAAACTCTCTTGCATAGTTTACTTACATACCGCATCTAATAGGATATTAGATGTTTTGAAATCGCGATATATTATGGGCCTGTGAGCTTCTTCATGGAGAAAAGCAAGACCTTTTGCAGCACCAAGTGCAATTTTCATTCTGATAGACCAAGGAAGAGGCAAGGGCCCTTCTACATAAAACATGGTTGTTACCAGAAAAACAATTAATCCTTATGCATGAAATTTTTTAAGAGCATGGTACCAAGCAGAAAGAACAAAAGCATTACAGGAAGATAACTATTTTATTCTGGTTTTTGTTTTCTATAAACATGAAAGCCTAGAATTAAATATCAATCTTGGACTCCAACAATTAGTTGTGAATCAAACACTGGATTAAGATTATGGTAGAGCATTGAATAATGTTTTGTGAACAGGAAATGCAGATTTATATTCAATAAGTTATTCAATAAGTTATTCAGATTCAATAAGTTAACCCAAGGGCATTGAATATCCTCTTTTCAGTTAAATTTATGTTTGTATTGAGAAAAGTAGTATTTAACTCAAGAGTCCTATTTATTTTTTGTTTGATATATGTGTCAACTGTCAAGAGGGCGAGCCTCGAGAAGTGATAAAATTGCTCCTTTGTACTGAAAGGTCACGGGTTTGAATATAAAAAACAGCCTCTTAACAATTATGCAGAGGTAAAGCTGCGTAGAAATTTGCTGCAGTATTACACAGAGATAAACAAGAGTAGTGGAGACATGCAATAGGAATAAAAAGGTATACCAAAGAAATAAAAAAGGGTTAGTAGTGTACTTCTAAAGAGGTGGTTCTCCAAACTGCCTCGGGGCATAAACTCATAAACCAATAATCTTTGGTCACCTTCAATGCAGAAACCAACCAATTTAACAAGATTAGGATGGACAAGATCACCCAGATAGTTTAATTCAGCCTGGGAAGAAGTAAGAAAAATTGAGAAATGTTAACAAAACAAGAATTGTAAAAATGAAAAATTTTGAAAAGGAAAACGTTGAAAAGATAAGTAAGTTTCATACAAGCCACTCTTTGTGACCCTGATGTCCATTTTGGTTGAGGATCTTGACTGCAACTGTAAGCCCAGTACCTGGTTTCACAGGTGCAGTTCCATTCTCCTCAATCCAACCCTTGAAGACACAACCAAACCCTCCCTCACCAAGAAGAGACTCTGGTCTGAAACTCCTAGTTGCCAACTTAAGTCCATTGAATGTGAATTTTCTCAAACAAGAAGCAAACTTCAACTCCTCACTGAATTTTGGAGTGGAAGGGATACTTTCCACATTACTAATTGTTGTAGAGGACTCTGGAGGAGCAACTGTTTCCTTTGTGCTTTTTTCAAATGCAGATTTGTTTTCCTCTGGTTCAATTATCACCAACTTGGTATTGTCACCTAAAAAAAATAAGAACATGGTTTTGAAAACCTTCAGTAGTTTGCAAATGATAAGAACTCATATCCCTATTGTTCCAAGAAACTCAGAATTAATGATGTTTCTTAAAACAAATTTGCACCCTCAACACAAAAAGTTTTGCATAGATCATGTAACCATAAAGTAAAGATAAAAAAAAAAAATTGTGGCCACCCAAAATTGATGTCAAATAGAAGATATTTCCTGAAACTAAATAACTGGGAAAAGGAAAGAAAATCACCATTATGGGTAGTAGTGCCACTTATGGAGCTATCAACTTTTGACCTTGAAGGTATGCAGCTACCAAAGAAACTGAATCTAAAGCGCCATCCTCTCTTCTTCTTTGCACCATTTACATTCTTCTTTCCCTTTGACTTGTCAACATCCAAACTCCCTGCCTGAATTGCATTATCCCCAAACCCCATCATCCAAAAAATCTTACAAACATGTTTCCATACACCAAAAGTCTCAAACTTTAGATTAAAAAAAAAAAAAAAAAAGTCACTACAAGTTTTCAAACCACCTCACTCCCAATAATTGAACAATTTGAAACTCATAATCAACAAGGCAAAAAGAACAATAACATAGTGTTGTTGAATGTTATCAAGGACCACAACACATGTAAACTGTTGATGAATGACCAAAACCAACACAAACCCAGTTGTGAATTCAGTCCAAACTCCAAAGCAAAGTGGGGTGTTGAATGGAAAAGCGGGAGAGTGCTTGGAACAGAGGGAAAGTTTTCCCACAACGGGCAGTTCGGGCAGGGTTGGAATATGAAAAGTAGGCATTTGGGCAGTGTGGGCAAGAGAGAGAAAGGGACATCCATTTCTTTTTCTTTTCGTAAACAGCACTGCCACTTGGTAAATTGCAACTTACAACATATGACTTTCGTTTTGTTATCTAAATTATTCCGCAGATAATGTTCTTATTTCCATGTGGAAAACTATTCAAAAAGGAACTAAACCATTAAAATAAAATGATAACTACATATTTTTTTGGTCAAAGTAATTTAGGACTTGGAGCACTAGCACTATCGTTCATTCATGTTAATACACGTTATCTACAATATTATTATTATTATTATTTTCTTGATCTATATTGATTATTCACTTTTCATATGTTGGCAATGGCACTCATTGGCCTTTGGCAGAATGGCAAGCTAACTTTTTTTTTAACGTTTTGTGAGCAAATTCATGAAAGAAGAGACAATAGAATCAATCATGTCACTGGTTCTCTCCGTGCCTTACCAGGACGTTTGGCAGAGAAAAAAAAAATTTTATTCAAAAATTTTAATTTTTAAAAATATAATTTTTACATTCAGTTTATGATAATATTCAAAAATTTAAAATTTAAAAAAATTTAGTTTCTCAAAAATCCAAAAAAAAAATCGTGCAGCAAACGCCCCTAAGAGATTGGGTTAGGTCACTATCTCGCCCAATGCTGATTTCCTTTCCTGAATCCAGATCGTATTTTATATTTTTACGAGTTTATGTTGTGATTATTTTGCCTTCTCGTTATTTGTTTCAAAATCAACTGTTAAGAGATTCAGCAACCACCCCTAAAAAAATAAAACTTATACCAAACATATTAAGTAAACTACATTAACAATAAGAAATTTTAAATTAGGATTATATAATTTTAGAATACCAAAAGATTTAGGCTTACTTGTTGTTGTTGTTGTTGTTGAACACATGATTCTTGATTTTTCAAAGGCTTGCTTGTTTCTTGTTTGCTCTTACGCTTCAGCCAGGTTGGAAAGATCATCATCTTCATCTGTAATTCGCACACACCACTCCCTGATCACAATAGTCAATGGAGAGGACCTAAACAAATTTATTAACCTTAGTCCCCTTCCCTTCTTATTATGGGCCTATGGGTTTGGTCCAAGACTGTTATCCACACTAACACACTAATCAAGCTCAAACTAAAAGATCACGTAATCAGATGAGATTTATACTGCACCCCCGATCATGTTTTATTCTCTTTTTTATCTTTTTTATTTAGATATGTTGAATCTTTTTTCTATTTTTATTTTTTTCACTTTTTAATCTATTTTATTCTGATTTTCTTCTTTCTTTCTTTTTAGCCTTGTGCCACCCAATTTATTAAAGACTTTAGTAAAAAAAAAAAAATTAAAAAGAGAGAAAATAAAATAGAGATATAAAAAATCAAACATATTTAAATAAAAAGAATAAAATAGATTAAGGTTAAAAAAGAAAAAATCAAATCAAATATATTGAAAATTCGTAACTGTTATATCTTTTTCTTTCTTGTTTTATCTAAATTTTTTATTCTATTTTTTTGTATTCAGTATATATTTTTTCATTTAGACTATTTTTTATTTTAGTTTTTTTTTGTCTCTGTTGTAATTTTTAACCTGTTTGATCTTATTTTTTCTTCTATTTGTTTCCTTTTTTTATTTAGATACATTTGATCTTTTTTTTCTTTTAGTCTTTTATTAAGTATTCTAAATTTTCATAATATTTGGCCTTATTTTCCTTTTTTTTATCACTCTATTTTCTTCTAGGTTTTGATTTGATTTCAAAGGCTATTTGACCCTTTTGTCCCTTATTAATTAATTAATAATTATTTTGTCCCTTACTCAGAATTATCTACCAATTTGTCCTTCTTTAATCGATTAACTTGAAGATTTAATCGATTAAATGGTCAAAACTGAAAAAAATGGTTGACCTGAAGATTTAATCGATTAAAACTTATATTTAATCGATTAAATATCTCAAATGAGCGTGAAAGCATTGATACCAACTCGTAAAATGGCAACTCTTAATAAAACGCAATCAGCTCTTATTAAATACAAAACACAATCAACTCCTATTATTAAATACAAAACACAATCACCTCCTATTAAATGCAAAACGCAATCAGCTTCTATTAAATACAAAACACAATCACCTCCTATTAAATACAAAATGCAATCAGCTCCTATTAATTACAAATCACAATCAACTCCTATTACATTAAATTCAAAATTCAAATAACATCCAATACACGAAAAACTGATTGAAGATTCTGCTAAGTATTACATTAAATTCAAGATTCACAATCAACTCCTTTTGTTTATGGAGGAGATTTGACCTTTGTTGCCTGTTGCGATTTGATAGGAGCTGATTGCGTTTTGTATTTAATAATAGGAGTTGATTATGTTTATTTAATAAGAGTTGATTGCGTTTTATTAAGAGTTGCCATTTTACGAGTTGGTGTCAATGTTTTCACGCTCATTTGAGATATTTAATCGATTAAATATAAGTTTTAATTGATTAAATAAATTAAGAGGGAGATTTAATCGATTAACTTATCGATTACATCTTCAAGTCAACCATTTTTTTTTCAGTTTTGACCATTTAATCGATTAAATCTTCAAGTTAATCGATTAAAGAGGGACAAATTGGTAGATAGTTCTGAGTGAGGGGCAAAATAGTTATTAATTAATTAATAAGGGGCAAAAGAATCAAAAAAACCTGATTTCAAGTATACGTAATACAACCAATTTTGATTGAATTTCTTTTACTATATGATTTTAAATTTACTATACTTACCATTATTAAGATGATAAGTATAGTACAAATTTAAAGTTTCACTGTAAATTTAAAGTTTTTAATATACAATTTTCACTATACTAACATCTTTTACTATACTTAATCAAGATTGGTTGTATTAGTTATACTTGAAATCAAATCAAACGCAATTTAATAACATCTTTTACTATACTTACCATTATTTGATTTTAAAGTTTCTCAGTATCATTTTTTAGAAGAGTTTAAAGCCTTAATTCTGAACTCGCTCCCAACATGATTGTCTCCCTAGGAGGATACTATGATTTATCCAAAAAATTTATTCAAGCAGTGGTTGTATTCCAGCCTATTAGCCTTTGTAATGTTATTTACAAGACTGTAACTAAGATTGTGGCTAATAGGCTGAAATTTCATATGGCTCACTTGGTTATGCCTAATCAATGTGGTTTTATTAAGGGTAGACAAGGAGCGGATAATATCATTTTGGCTCAGGAAATCATCCATTCCATGAATAAAAAGAGAGGAGGTAAGGGTTGGATGACTGTCAAAGTTGATTTAGAAAAGGCTTATGACAAGATTTCTTGGGAGTTTCTGAAAGACACGCTTGTGGATGTTGGTTTGCCTGAGAATATTATTTCTCTGATAATGTGTTGTGTCTCGTCATGTACAATGAATTTGTTATGGAATGGATCAACTACGACAGAATTTTCTCCTAATCAAGGTCTTTGTCAGGGAGATCCTTTGTCTCCTTATCTTTTCATCCTTTGCATGGAAAGACTTGCTCATTTGATTAATGTAGCAGTTCAAGAGGACGTTTGGAAGCCTATAAGATTGAATAGAAGGGGACCACTGTTTTCCCATCTATTTTTTGCAGATGATCTTCTGCTCTTTACAGAAGCCACAGAAGGGCAAGCTGTTATTATTAATAAGATTCTTGATTGTTTTTGCAGGTGCTCTGGTGAGAAGGTTAGCACGGAAAAAACAAAAGTCTTCTTCTCCAGAAACGTTAATCATACCCGAGTGCAGAATCTAAGCCAGTTGACGGGCTACTCTCCTACAAATGACTTGGGTAAATACTTGGGTATTCCTCTTCGTCATAGCCGTGTTACAAAGAGTACGTTTGGCTATATCTTAAATCGGATGCAAGCTCGTTTAAATGCCTGGAATCAACGTACTCTTTCATTGGCAGGAAGATCAACTTTGGCTAGGTCAGTTCTTACTGCAATTCCTCAATATCCTATGCAAACTTGTATTATTCCTAGTGGTACGTGTGATCGTATTGAGACTGTAACTAGGAATTTCATTTGGGGATCAACTTCTGAACGAAGGAAAGCTCACCTGGTTTCTTGGGAGACAGTATGTTTGCCGAAAAATGTAGGGGGCTTGGTTTTCGTAAAATTAAAGAGAATAATATGGCTTTTATCATGAAGCTAGGTCACCGAATCATGACTGATCATAATTCGTTATGGGTTCGGGTCCTTCGTAGCAAGTATAAGGTGGAGGAAAGGCTCATTCCAAGTATCTCGGCTTCCGCAAATGATTCTAGTTTATGGAAGGCTATTGTTAAGTATTGGCCTCAAACTCTAGAGAATTCTCGTATCATTTTAGGGGATGGGGTTCATACGTCTTTTTGGATGGATTCGTGGGTGCCAGGATGTCCTCAACTTGTTTCTCTGGCCGTTTAACCTATTCCTCCTATTATGGCTCATTGGTCTACGTCTCAATTTGTAACTTGTTATGTTAATTGGGACTGGCCTTTATTTCAGCACCTTCTTCCTACTTCAGTATTAGACAAGATTCGTAGTGTGCTCCCTCCTACAATGGATCCTTCTCCGGACCGTGTTATTTGGGCAGGTAGCCAAGATGGGGTTTTTTCAGTGAAATCAGCTTATAACTATCTCATGGGTACCTCGCATTATCATCAGGATAGGATTTGGAAGGTAATTTGGATTTGGCCTGGTCCTGAACGTATTAGACAATTCTTATGGCTTCTCTACAGAGGTTCCCTTTTAACTAATGTTCATAGAGTGCATCGTCACATGGCTACAGATGCAGGGTGTCTGAGATGTCATTATAATCTTGAGGATAGTTTACATGCCATTAGAGATTGTCCTGGTGCCAGGGAATTATGGGAGCATTGGGTTCCTTCTGATAACCGTAGTGAGTTTTTCTCCATGGATCTTCACCTATGGATTCAGACAAATCTAGGATTAAAAGGTCCGTTTCAAACTGATCGAACTTGGCCTTTGTATTTTGGGGTGATAGCTTGGTGTTTGTGGGGGGAAAGAAA